TTTTGCCTCTTATTGTTAGAAGCTCAATGAAAGTGAAGCTTTTTGCGCAAGGAGATATAGACGCTATATCCTTCAAGCCACTTGAATGAGTGATGTTTAAAATAATATCTCAATATGAGCAGTATATCCAAACCTATCGCTATGCTACATATGGTATTATATTTACATACGTCCTCTCGCGTTCTCTGCATCAACAAAAAATTGTGGTCCTTCTTCTGGTCAAATTTTGTGAACTTAACGGGTATGGTCCTTCCTCGGTCTACTGAGCACATTTATAGACATAACTTGAATTTTTTTCGAGTTTCCGCTTCCTTTCTTTGGCGTCCTTTCGTCGCTAGAAAGGCGTTTGAGATTCGTTTATCGTCGAAAAAAATTCATGATTTGTTCGTATTGAGCTCCAAAGCCTGCAGTGCCTACACCAGACTGAAAGTGTAATTAAGAAAATCTCAATCGCAAATTAACGTGAACAGTGCTTAGCTGGCTTACACCTCTTTTTATTTTCCATCACCGCTCTCGCTTTGAAATTGTTAGCGAATCCGCGGCGAAAAGAAGAGCAAAAAAGGCATTTCCGCGTGCGTAAGTGACTATCCAGATTAAGCCGCGGGAAAAACATGGTTCCAGCTCAATAAAACTAGTTTCGATTTGGCTCTGGCTAGATAACAAAAACTTCGAGAAAAAATTTTTCCCGATGGTAAACAAGCATGGAAAGTATGGTCTTGATTGGTACCTGCCTCGATGATATATAGCTCAATTTGGAAGGTAATTCAAGCAATTAGGGCTGGCTATTGAGCAATGCTATGGAGTCTCTGTTTTTATCCAAAAAAGTGTGATGAGTTTTGAGCTAGTCGTTGGGACGTCAATCATCTCAAAGCTTATTGGTAGCAATCACGACCAAGTTGATGTGCTTACCAAAAATGCAAAATTTAGGCTATTAGGCGAACCCGTCATGCCTCATAGATCTTTTTGAGTTTTCATAGAGATATATGGTTACCATACATGTTATGGTGGCGCATGCGAACATTCAGCTAGTATAGTTGGCTAGGTTCCAAGGGACGATTTGAGATCAGATGATGTCATCAGCTTTGACTAGGAATGCAAAAAGCAATCTCTCGCTGGGAGATTCAGAGGATAGGATTAGTTATGTAGTTCAAAAACTTGCGATCTTATGAATCATTCTTCAAATTTTAGATGTGACACCCCGAATTTTTCTCCATTTAAAAAGCCCAAGAATGAACTTTGTGCAGTATTCTCCAAAATAATTTTCAGCTCTATAGCGGAAAACGCACTAAGCGGAGAGTGTAGGAAAGAGCAGTAGGATGAAAAGAGATTGAATAGCCGTAAGATGTTATTTTGGCAGTAGTACAAACTTGGTGTTTGAATTAGGACAATCAAACAACAAGACTAGAAAGCAACACTGCAGGTATTTAATCCATCCCAGCTATCTTCTGTGGATTTGGTTCACACAACTGCGTGCAAACAATTCTTTGTAAAATAGCTACTCCAATGTGTGGAAAATGTTTTTCAAACTGTGTAGTCGAGAAGAATAATCCTTTTGAATTCTGACGGGAACTAATATTATTATAAAACAGAAAACTGGAAAGCCTCTAAAAGTATAGCACGCTTAAATGAATGACTGTTCTTTTTTCAGCCCACTGGAATCTATCCGATCAGGTCCATCACAAAGGATAACATTCGACAAATCTTCAACTTCGGTTTGGGAAGTCAGAAGTTTGGAACCACGGTGGACGAGAAGACTGGTGCAGCTGAGGCGAAGATCAGCGAAAGCAAGGACGACGTTATAGGAACGCTCAAGAAAGAGGGCGAGATACCAGAGTTAGCAGAAAATGCCACAAGTACGACAACGGCTGGTGAAGAGCAGAAGCCAACAAATGAATCTACGATTGTGGAAGAGGTCAAAACAGAAGAGGGCGCTGAAAAGAAAGCAGAGGAAGGCAGTGAAACGAAAACAGAGGAAGGCGGTGAGAAGGTCGTTACAGAGGAAGGCAAGGAAAAAGTCGCTGAAGGAGAGGGAGAGCCTAAGGAAAAAGTGGAGGAGAAGAAATCGGAGGAGACAAATGCCATAGAAGAAGAAGGAAAACCAGCCGAAGGACGTCTAGGAGGAGGACCATCCATTGAGGGCTTCTCGGAACCAAAATCTGCTGAAGGACAGCCTGAAGGCAAGACGTCAGAGATTCAGAAGGAGAAGTCCTCAGAAGAGCAATCACTGAATAAGCCCATTGAAGCTCAAGCACCTGAAAGTACGGTTCAAGAAGAGCAGAGTACAGGATC